AGCCCACGGGTAACGCTGTGCTCTGCTTTTTCCCCTCTTCTAGGCCTGAGGGGACCCCTTTCGAGGACGGTAAGTGAGGCGTGCGGGCCTGGGGTTTGGCTTTCTCGGGGTTCGCTGCAGTCTGACACGGCCCCGGTGTGCGCTGTCCTGACTGGGCAACAGGTGGGGGCCTGGGGATGAGAAGGACGTGGGTGCACACACTCGTGTGCTGGCCTTGTGTAAGCACTGTATTGCTTTCCCCCCGTTCCAAGAAAGTGGTGTTGATCTAGATTGCTGTGTTGATTTACAGAAACATACGAAGTAGCTTGTAGGTGCTTGCTTGTAATCACTAAATCTGACTATGCTAAGCCTGATTTGCTGTACCATTTTAAGGATCTCCAAGCTTTTCTGTCGAATCCTGGGTCGTGTTTTTAGGGACACTCATATTTGGAGAACCATCAAAAACCTGGTACAGAAATGTTGCCATTTGTTTTGAGCTGTTTTTTCTGATGCTGGAAGTGTTTTGCGAGTAAGTTCCAGTGTGAGTCAGCTGTAGTAGGAGATGGGCCGATTTGTTTGAGGAAGCTCAGAACAGATACTTTGTTGGGTTTTTGTCTTGACATCTGCTTCACTCTGCTACAGTCGGTATCATTCAGGGTTAAAGATTAAAAGGACTTTTAAACTTTAAAAGGTGACTAAATAGGTCCTTGTAACATACCTGTGTCCTGGTGGTTTCCACATAGTCTCATTGTCTTCTGCCTTTGCTGGTGCTGTATGAATACTTCAGCATCTCTGTGAAAACTTGTTAGACATGAAATACTGTTTAACTGAAATCAGTGATGCAGTTTTTTATTGTTATTTAAGATACTTTCAGTGCAGGCTATAATTAATCCTAGATCTGCATGACTCATGGCAAAAGCATAGGAAAAATTCCTTCACTCTTGTGTTGTTCTTGGCTCACTTCTTTGTCTCTGTTTATCCTCAGAGGTAGCACCTGTGGGCATGCCTCTAAAGTGCAGGTTATTTTTATTATTTTTTTTTTCCTCCTGTGAAGATTTTGAAGATTTTAAATGTTTCAGTTCTAAGAAAACTCCAGAGACTCCAAAATTCTTTTAATGTATTTGATCTCTTAAGATAAAACTTGCTATGGTACCTGCTTCAGGATTCTGATGTTTAGAACTTGAGTATTCTGTATCATTGCATAATAGAACAGATTGACTAAATGTATTCTGTTATGTCATCTTGTAAACCTAAAAGAAGGGCTCCCTTAAAGTTCTGTGAGGGCTGCTAGAGCTGCTTAGACTCTTGGTGCATTGCCACTAATAGTGATTCACTGGTGGAGCAGAAAGCCACCTCCTTCCAGTGTGCTAAAATGTAGGTTGTTTCCACGTTCAGGCTGTTCCAGCTCAGTGTGGGGTTAACAGATGCTATAAGGGCTTTTTTCCATACATTTCCATTTAGTTGACGGAGGTTGGAGTCTGCTTTTGAGAGCTTTGACATATTGATTTCCTCCCTGCTTTCCACTGTGGCAGCATTGTGTCTTTATCTAGGGTACTTGGGATATGTTGTGCTCGCAGCAGTTTGATGTTCAGACATGCTTGAGTCTGCTGCTGCTGTCCTGCTGCTGTGGCTGATCTAATAATATGATCTTGGGGTGTGATGGATTGCTCTTTCCATAGCAAAGTGTGTGTGCTTTCACAGTGTGCACTCAGGAGAACACCTATGTCTTGTGTTCCAGGATCTGCTTATCTATCTCCTTTGCTCTGAGACATATCTTACATTGTGCTAGATAACAAAATACTAAGCAGTGCCTACAGATAGGGGTATATTGGTGGCTCAGCTGAGCTTTTTCATTGAGTAGGGTAGCATAGTTCAGATGCACTTTAGCTTAATGTAGGTAAAATTAAGGGAATTCTTTATTGAACAGCATTGAGTTGTTAGTTTGGGCTTGTTTTGTAACTGTGCAGGCCCTTGCGACTCAGAGGTACAGTGGAGCTCTGTAATCCTTCTCACGAAGCCTTTGCAGGTCAGTGTTCCTCAGAAGTCATTTGTATTTTTGTTCTTGGGCTCTACAACTTCCTGGTGATACTGTAGGACTTCAGATACCTTAGTTATTGTGGAAGTAGCCCATGAATTTCATTTATTTATTTGTTGAACCAGAGTTGTAATCACTTAAACATTGTGAGAATTACTGTTCTTTATCCTTGTTCTGGTGCGGCTCTTCTCCAGTCTTGGCTTCCAAGGTTTCTTAGCTTTGTCTGAACTGAAAACCTGAAGTTCAAACGTGTTTGTTTACTTGCTGTGCAGCATAATGCAGCTGAAACCCTCCTGCCCCTCCACCCCCAGACTTCAGAGGGTGTTTTCACAGCTCAGTGTGCAGGCTGGCTTGCCCTAGGAGCAACTACTAATTTAGAACAGCAGCATAACTTCCCTCTTCTGGTTGAAGAGGATTTGATTGCAGGTGTCTGCAGTAGGACCCCGGGGGGATATTTATCCTGCCTTTCACCACATTTCTAAGAATCTCTGTGTGTGTGGCATCTCAAGTGGTAGTGCTGCCCCAGTGATGGAAACCCAGCTCTCCCAGTCCTTCAGACCTGTTTCTCTGAAACTGGATGATGATTTTGTGGTTAGTGCAGAATTCCTGGCTAGGAGAGAGTTAAGTAGCACAGCTGTTATAGTATCTTGCCTTGCTGCCATCAGAGAAAGCAAGGCAGTAAGGTGTTTGCCTTTTGTGTGGTTTGTTCCTTGTTCATGGGATATGGATTCTGTATCCTTATGTGGGAGGGGAGGAAATTGTCCCTGCTTTATGGTCACTGGAATGGAGGGGGCTGCTCTTGCTTCCTGTAGCAAGAAGGGCCTGGCAGGAACATGGGTGCTCCTCTGGCAGGGGTTAATTGGGGCAGTGTACAGGCATGGAGAAACCTCCCTGTTAGCTATGGTGGAGTCTCACATCCTGAGGTAGGAGAGACAGATCAACAAGGTAAAGAGAGGTACAAGAGAGAAAAGAGAATGTTCTCCTAAGATCAGTGATGATCCTAATATGTCATAATAATGACAACGAATATGATATTTTATGTTTTAAAACCATCTGTCTAGGGTAAGTTGCAAAGAATATCAGTTGAAAGCTTTAACATTAATGGTAGAAGAGACTGACACTGAGGGCCTTGTCCACAGCAGTGTGTCACGATACCTGTTTGACTTACGCGCGCTTTCAGTTGTGAGTGACCCTTGGACATTGGTTCATGGACTCTCTGGACTTGTCCTTTATCAAAGCTCAGCAATGAGGTGGTGTGTACTGCAGAGCTCCTCCAAAGAGCCATTGCTACCCTGGGTCTTGACTTGGAGGTTTGAGTAGGTAGATGCTGCAGCTGGATACTGTCTAACCACTTGCTCAGGTTTGTTTTCAAAGTGATGCTGACCTGTCTCTGGTGGGACAAATTGCTTCCATTGCTCTCAGGAGCTTTAAATGGATTCTAAGACCAAACTGCCCCCGTTACTGATTTTCAGCCATTTTATCTGTTCCCTCTGCTCCCACTTCAGTCAGTGTTCTAGAATAGCATTCATTTTCTCAAGTATGCTTGTTGAAATCTACTGTTTGATGGTTTGTGCTCAGTTTACAGCCTACTGCTTGCTTAGTCACTCTTCCACAGAAGAAAGTCCCTGCTTTCCTGCTTTGTAAGGAGGCTACTGAGAACCAGAACTGGGGCAGGGAGACCTGGGAAGTTCTAAAATTTAGAATAAAATCCCTAAGTATTTGATTCCAAAGGGCCGATACTGCTTGGGATTGTCACCATGTAGGGAAGGAAAAAGGTCCTGAGCTGATGTTCACAGCTGGTAGAAGTTGATACTAACTTTCCACTGCTGGCTTTCAAGCTGATCTCAGATCTGTCTCTGTGCTTCTGAATTAGCTGGAGTGAAGTTTGGAAGTTCCCACTACATACTTCTGCTGATTTGAAGGATCCTGCTCCTGTTGTTTTGCAGTGAGATAGCACACTGCTGGCTTTCTGCCCTTAGGTTGTTAGGCTGCTAATAAAAACCAAACATGCAAGACCTTATTTTTAGGATGTTGAGACTTCCCCCTGCTGTACAGATAGCTCTGAAGCATCTGTACTGTGTACATCTTCATGCTAAACTGGAACGTCAAAGCAATGACCTTCATTTCTTGCAACTCAGTGTTATAGTTTATCTCCTTATAAAGGAAGGAGTCCCTGGGAAATCCTGCAGGTCCTGGCTGATCTGGAAAAAGGGACTGAAAATTCTGCTCTATGGCTACTACTTGTTGGCACATGCTTGTCAGCCAAGTGAAGGAATACATTAATGATATTAGTGTGGAAAGCTTCCTCACAGTAGGAAGCAAGGTTGAGCTTTACATCTGAGCCCCTGAGTTTTAGTTTGGGCACTGAGTGTTGGGGGCGATGGACCTGTCACAGATACATGAGGATGCCCTGGTAATGCGCCTGCCCTGGCAGGTTGTTACAGTTGTTACTGTAGGGCACGTTCTTCTTACAGGAAAACTGTATTTTGATGTGAAGGTGCTTCAGATGGATCTCTCTGAGCGTACCCAGGAACTTCATAAACTGCCTCCCAGATGGGTTGCTGAGGTGATAGCATGGCAAGAGCAGCTTGGAGTATCTGGAGGTCCTTAGCTACTGCTCTGACTCACTAGCAGCGCTTAATCCCTCGGAACCATATTTATGCATATTTAGTTGACAGACTTCTTATTCTCAGATTGTCATAGCCTGAGAAGGGCTAAAATCACTTCTGTTGGTGCAGGCTGGTAAAGCGATTGGGTTAACTGCAGAGCTTTCTGTTTCTGTTTAGTCAGTCTTTCTCAGATGAAGACTAGTTAGTCTGAAGTAACTGATCAGGGTTTTAAAGTGTCTGATTTGGATGCTGCTTTCAATACTACTTTTCTGCAATAGGATGTGATTACCTTACAGTTGATAAAAATGTATTTTCTTGAAACTGAAACAGGAAGTAACTAAGAAGGTCCTTGTCATGATGCATATTCCCGCCTCTAGGACTTACTAAATCATGGCCTGTTGCACAGATGGTTATACACCCACTTGTGCTGTTTTTACAGTGCGCTGAGATTAGGCTTTGTGGAAGAAGAACTCAAGGGAAGATTTACTTCCTAACACAAACCTTTTGACTGGGGTAGTGAGTTTGGCAATAAAAGTAATTCACAGGAGATACTCTTGTACCAGCGTTGGCTGGAGTCAATGATTAACTCCAAAGAGAGTAGGAGAATTGTTGTAGGACTGAGCAATCTCTATTCCCTATCCAGCATGTGCATATCAGCACAATAGTACAGTTTGTGCTTGTGGAGGGATGCTACTTATTCATCCCTTGTGTAAATTCATTCTGAGTAAAGGTTACTTATCTCTCTTTCAACTCCAGGAACTTTCAAACTTACAATAGAATTCACAGAAGAATATCCGAATAAGCCACCCACTGTTAGATTTGTCTCTAAAATGTTTCATCCAAATGGTAAGTACTTACACAATGCTGCTGCTTTTTAAGTTCTAGCTTTTTATAGTGTGGTAGAAAAAAAGTCCATTTATTATCAAAGTTTCCACTATTTAATAAGCAAGCAAAATTCCAGTGTGGTTCTATGTAGGTTTGGTAAGGATGAATATGTGAGCAGTGCTCAGGGGCAATAAAAGGAGCCTCTTATCTTGCAGGTATTACAGCACAGTATTGAGACACTTCTCTCTCAACTGCCTGTTGTTAAACCTTACAGAAGAATATTTTGTACTTAAAGAGCAGTGCCTTGGACTTCTATCCATATGTACTGCACATACAGACAGCAGTATGTATGGACACTGGATGTGTGATGCTGCTGAATGCAGTTGTCTTTTATCACTTCCCCAAAATGACATACCTCGAAATGTCATACCCAAAGAATGACATACCTCAAAATGTAGTGCTAGTTTCCAGCTATAGAGAGTGACAGATCATTTAATTAACCCCTTTCTGTGGTAATTAAAGGTTGGAGCGGTATTCCTTGTCTCCAACAAATACTAGCTTTGTGAAGGAATACTAGAAACTTTCAAATGTTGCAGGTAAGTGAAGTGCCCTGAGGGAAAGTTCTTCTAAAGCTGCCATGAGCTTTAGAACACTAGACACTGACTGTTGTAGGTACTTTGAGGAAGCCTTACCTGTAAACAGCTTGTGTTTATTTGGTTCTCTTGTGGGTAGCTTAATTTTTTTTGCCTTAAAATGTATTAATGGTAGTTGCAATGTCACATAAAAGCTTGATGTTAAAGAATAAGCAGGGATTGAGTTTAAATACCACAGGCAGCTGTTGGTGACAACCTTCACCTATTCCTTCCTCCAGGCTTGTTTGCTGTCAGATGCTATTGTAGCGTTTGTCAGTACACAGGTTTTTCAGGAGCAGGCAGTACTAGGACAAACTGAGAGCTATACAACTTCTGTGTTAAGCCATTCTTCTTGAACCTTTTCTAGTCTATGCAGACGGTAGTATATGTCTGGATATTCTTCAGAATCGTTGGAGTCCTACTTACGATGTCTCCTCCATCTTAACATCCATACAGGTAAAATGAACCCTGCATGAAAAGGCAGAATGAAACTAGGATGCTTTGACAAAAACAGCTCAGGAAACACTTTATTTTGCCTCCTGCTAGCCAGTATAGCATCTATACCTTGATATGTGCTAAGGTATGACTACTTCCCAGGTACAAACTAACAGTGACAGTAGGTGGTCACTGAAGGGGCCTGTCTAGTGATCACACTGCTTGGGTATTGCTGCGTGGCTGTCAGTTGCATTGTCAGCTGCAGAGTCAGTTGCAGTGTCACCTGCACTGCTGAGAGTAAGAGCGACAGCAAACGCGTCCAGTAACTTAGAGCTGGAATAACGCCATGTACCTGCCTGTATGTAATTAACCTCTGCACTCTTATCAGTATGGATAGTTTTATGGAATGTGTTGGAAAACTGTGCATACTCTCCAGTGCCTAAGAATCTCTTTCTCTTTGCACAGTCTCTATTGGATGAGCCAAACCCCAACAGCCCAGCAAACAGCCAGGCAGCTCAGCTATACCAAGAGAATAAGCGGGAATATGAAAAACGGGTTTCTGCAATAGTAGAACAGAGCTGGCGTGACTGTTGACCCAGGATGATGCAAATGAACACTCTGTTGATGAGGAAAATAAACAAAGTGTCTGAGTCATCTTTTTCCTCCTAGCATTTACTTTGAAAGCAGAATAGCTGTTGTGCTGTTGCCACCCTCCCTTGCTGAAGCTTCTTCTCCTTGGACATCAGAAAGCACCCACTTTGAAGTCAAGTGTTCTGTACTTGGGTTACTTGCAAAAGAGTTACTGATGCTGAATCCATTTCCTGTGCCCCCTCTCCAGTCTTAGGGCAGTATTGTGCATTTCTGTAGTGTACACTAAGCTTTTAATTGTAATTGTGTTATACACAGTGATGCTTATGTGTAGCTTGATAAAGGGATGTTTATATACATACACATTTTTTAACTGATATTAACTAAAGTGCTGATGTGTCCAGGCTGGTCATTTACCTCTACTATTGGTTTAGACCCCACTGCATTTGTACGTACGGAGTGAAGAAATAACCTCTTGTTTCCCTTCTGTATTGGTTTATCAACTCCTTAGTCATGGTAAAAACCAAAACCAAACAACTCTTAAATTGATTCCAATTCAAATACTTAGTAAGACTGTGGAATGCTAGTTACTTCTGCACTTCACATGCAAGATTTATGTACAGATATACGTAAACCACTCCAGCTGTGGTACTCTGATCTTTGCTTAGGGTGAGAAACACCCCCCATTTTTATTTTGTTTTAAAGGGCATGCCTACAGAGACTGCTTCACTAATTTCTGTAGTCCTGTCACTGAGGCATTACTGGACAAACCCAGGTAGAGCTGTGGTACTCTGAGCGAAAGACCTTCCGCATTAAGGAAGAGAGAAAAGCTGAAGTGTTTCAGCAGTGGAATTATTCCTTCAGTGTCTTTCACCTGCCCCTTACCTTTAGCTGAGAAAGACAAGTCCTTGGGGATCGAACTTTGCCTTGTGGAAAGTTTGAATAAAGTACAGGTGGGCACTTGAGTTTCTGCAGTTTCTGCTCTCCATAGGTGACTGTGTGGTTTGTGTGAGCTACTGCTGCATGCTTGAGTTAGTTTCCCTTCAGTTTTATGAAAGTATTTTTTCAACTCTGGAAAAAAAAAAACAAACAAACCAACATTTGTAAGTCCAGACTCGCTTTTTTGGTAGGGCTGAGTTTGTACCTTTGGATACAGTACCTTAAGCAGCAGGGTGGGACGAAGCCTACGATTGTGTTGTCCACTGTTCCCGTGTCCTTTGTGTGCACATTGGTCTGTTAGTTGAGAAGTACAACTTTGCACAAGTAACCCATGTAAGAAACTGTACATTTTTCAAAAGTTGTAAATAAAGTGTAACCTTAGTGCTTATTGTATAAATAGGCAAGAGGTGTATAGCTGTGGTTATTTTAATGGGGCTGTAGGAGGCTGCTGTGGGACTGAGCTCCAGGTAGGCTCTTAGGGCAGGACTGAGGAGCAGCAGTGGGGTGGATGCAGGGATTGGGACTTGCCCCTCCAGCACAGATACGGGCAAAAAGACACCAGTCATAGCATAAAAAGCACTTGCAGAAAGCTCAGCACCACGTTGTGTCTGTGAATGAGCCATTGACAAAGATGATTATGAGTTTGTTTCAGTAACTCAACAGGCTCAGTAATGAATTGATACAGGAATCGTATTTATTTTCCTCCCATCTTATGAGGGGGAGAACAGGATTTAAATTGACTGACACATACCAAAAGCTGGTACTGCTGCTTTGCTCTACAATTAAGATAGAAGCTGCCAGGCTCTTTCAAAAAGGGAATCCAAAAAAGGGTTATTTGTACGTGCTGTGACACAGCTCATACCACTGAACAGCCTTTTGCCATTGAAGTACCTGAGGTACACACGCTCCTCCTAACGGACAGTGTCTTAACTGTCATTATAGCTGCATCTGGCATCTCAGGTGTGCATGGAGTGAGTCTGCTCTGTAATAGTGTTTTTTAAGCAGTCCCTGTGCAAGACTTCCCCAAGGCAGAGCCAGCTGAGCAGCAAACCCCTTAGTTACACCCACTAAGTTATAGACCAGTGCAAAAAACACCCCAAAACACCGACCCACCCCCACCTGCAGCGATAGAGGGGACTGAAGCCAACCAGGAGTCCCTTAACCATGGCCCCTGATCCCGCCGCAAGGATTCCTGCACGCGATTGGCAGCAGAACCTTTCTGAACGGCCCAAGTCCTAATGGTGCAGAAGCCCCCGTATCAGCACCTCCAGTTTGTATTTGTCTTGATAGCCACTAAAAACAAACCAAACAAAACCCAGCCACCACACACAACAGGATGGTGTGGACTCTTAAGAGAGCAAGGAAACGAGCAGCACACGGCTGCAAGAAAAAACAAACCCTGACCTTTGTACCCCTTTTTAGCATGGCATTCATCCACTAATTGAATTCCCAAGCAGGCCCTGGCTCTCCAGCCAAGCTTACAGCTCTACAGACACACCAGGGACAGAGGTTCTGGCAACCCTTCAGCTCCAGCAGTAACAGTCAGACAAAGCTACAGCCACTACAGAGACAGGATGGCAACAGGCCCATGCTGCCAGCGGTACCACACTCAGCAAACATGGTGAACAGGGCTTGGAACCGGATGATCTTTAAGGTCCCATCCAGTCCAAACCATTCTGTAACTGTGCTAAGATGGGTAGACAAGTCACAGCAAGAGGTAGAGCAAGGCCCTGGGTGGCTGCCCCTGCTGAGGGGCTGTTACATTTAGCCAGCTCCTGCTCCCCCCAGAAAGTCATTTCTCATCCCGAATCCCGCAGCAGGGCTCTTGCTGCCTGCCTCAGTATCACCAAGCCTACAAGACCTGCAGCATATCCAAGCAAGGGAGGGGGAGCAGCACGCCTGCCTGCTGCAGGAATATCTGCGTAGAAAGTACCACTCCTACATCACCATCTGCTGCAACCCAGCGTTCGGGGAGCGGAATTCAGCAGTAGAGAGGGAATAACACACACAAACCCCAAACACCAGAACCCAACATACTTTCAGAATGAACTGCCAGATTGTTTTTCAGCACAGGCAGCGGCAGCGGCACGTTCCTGTTTCATCCGTCCAAGCCAGTGGACACTGCTGCAGCCATCCAGGCAGAGAGCAGGGAATGCTCGTGTCCTTCCCAACAGGCTTACCTGCCAGGGCAGGCGCTTCCTGCTCGCACGGCGCGGCCAAAAGTGCTTCTGACTGCACATCACCAGGATATTCTGCTGCATCAGCGGAGGTCAGTCACCCTCTTCTCTGTGCTGCGAGGATCCAAAGAGGAAACAGGAGATGGGAAAAAAGCTAGAGGAGGATGTAAAAAAGATGGAGAGGCAGAAAAACAAAAGGGAGAGCTGAGACACAAGGCAACAGACAAAAAGTATTTCATTAGGACTGGGTTTGTGCTACTGGTGACAGAAGAAACAGCATCTCACTCTTGGCTCTTCCAAGGTCAGTGCCTAACCTTTGTTTGCAACATGGAGTGAGCATTCCTCCATGGCTCACAAAGTGCCCTGTCCTGTGGTGGAGGCAGAGGTCAGCCTGTTTCCAGCCCCCCGCACCCTGGAGAGACACCACGCTCGCCCCACACAGCAGAGCGACACCAGGAGTTCAGCTGTGATTTGGCCCTGACACACAGAGGCACAGGTACAGTAACGGAGCAGAGGACTCCTCAGACACAGCTTGGGTTTCGCTCAGGATCAAAGAGCTCATATTCAAAGTAAAAAACTCAGTTGCATAACGGTGCCCACGAGCCGCCCGGCGCGTGGGCTCTGCAGTTACCTCCACTTGTGCTTCACACTTCACATGGTATCTCATCTGCTCACGTCAAACAGAACTCCAAGGTAAAAACGCCCTGGGATTATCTCAGTCAGACATGCTGCTGCTGAAGGTGCATTCAGGAATTCACAGGATGGAAGACTCAAGGTAGAAAGCTATGAATTAAAACTGTGGTTAAACTGGCTCAGGACATCTCTCTACCTACAAACACAGCAGAGACAAGACCTTGAGATATATCTATATATATATGTATATATTTCTCAAGAATAAACACAGATTTCACACATTACTAATTTTTTTCTTTACAAAGTGTGACAAATCCTGGTTTTTTTTTTCCAGAAATAAAACTTTTATTTTCATTGTCATTAATACCAACTTTACATACAGGTTTATTCCCCCAAAACTGCATTTCCTTTGCTTTTTATGATTTCTTTTTTTATTTTTATTTTTTTTTAAAAAAGGGCTTTTTTTTACTTCCTTGTTCAAGAAGAATAAGGGAACTATAATTTTGAATGATGTCAAATTCTTCCTCGTTGGACATGTGGTTTTGCTATTACAAAACTATTAAAATGTGAAGGAACAAGTAATATCAAAGACACATACAGTGACAGCACTACTGCTCTTGGGCTGTGCTAATTTACTTGGAACAGAACTCGGTCAGTTCTAAACGTCTAACAATGTTTTAGAAATGATATTAACAAAGTGAAGGACTTTTAATGTTGATATAGCCCATGACAGGAAAAATGCAGCATCTTTCTCTCACCGAGTATCCGGGCAGCTCAGTCTCTAGTTAAAGGGACACGTCTCCTCAGTTTGCTTGTGGCATAATAAGCTCGTAGTGCCCAACCTGGCCCTCCTGCTTCAGCTGGTCCAACAGATCCTCCTTGCGCCGCTTCCTGCTCACCACCAAGTACCTGTTGTGCCCCTGCCCATGAGATTTACTTTTAAGACCATATTTTTGGGCGATCTGATGGATCTGCTTCCGCTCGTCCATGGTCAGTTCTCTAGAGAAAGTCAAGTCAATGTGGCTCTCCGAGCGTGCATAGTTCCGAATGATCTCTTCGATATCTCTTTTAGCGATTTTGTTGACCCTTTCCACGTCAAGCCCGAGTCCTTCCCTTTTAAACTGCTCCTTCACCGAAATAGGCTCTCTAATTCCTTCCCCGGCTTTCCCCAGGCCACCGCCTGTCCAGCCCATCTTTCTTAATATTTGATTCCCAATGTTGTCTTCTTTGATCTTCTGTTTGAAAGCCTCTTCTGCTGACCGACCCCGGATCTCGTTTCGGGAGATGACGTCTTCGACGGTGCCTTTCTTCAGGTTATTGACAACAGTTGGCTGAGTCTTTTTGAGGATTTTCACAGCTTCCTCTGCTGCCTCATGCTTGACAGATTTCTTCACTCCAACTGCTTCTGCGATGAATTCGTCTTCAAGCAGCACCTTGCACTTCCATCGCATGCCAGTCATCCTTTCAAAGACGTACTCCACCGTCATCTTGTTGAACTGGGCAGTGTCGTTCAGCGTGCACACTGGATTACTGGAGTTCTCATAAACCACGAGGTCTTTCAGGTCCTTCTTCCTTCCGGAGCCCCGTGATGAGCAGCCCACCTTCTGAACCTGGGTCACTTTGATGGCTGCTATGTTTGACTGCATCTTCTGCAGGATCTTCAGTGCCTCCTCGGCGGCTGCGTGCTTGCTGGTCTTTTTAGTGCCAAACCCCTCGGCGAGGCAGTGGTCTTGCAGATACACCTGGCAGCGCCACGAGCGGTTGGGCATTAATTCATATTTATATTCAACAGACATTTTGTTGTATGAGGCAGAATTGTTAAGGATTCCTATCGCGTCGCTGGCGTTCTCCGTGAGGACAAAACTAGTCCAGTGTTTGCTGGTATTAGCGGAACCTTTCACGGACTCGGTACCAG